GAACTACAAACATCCTTCTATGTAAAACAATATGTAGAGTAAAAAAAATTAGCAAAAAAAGATAAAAATATGTTTCTGAAAATTTAATTAAATTCGAAAAATAAAATTAAAATTAAAATAATACAAATTTAAGAAAAATTTAATTACAAAAACAAAAAATGAATAAGTTCTTAAAAACTAAGTGAAATTAGACAAAAAAATTTTCTATTTAAAACAAAAAATTTAAAAACTGGTGAAAATTATATTAAAAGAAAGAAACCAAATTAAATTGAGAGACACAAAGCAATCATGTAAGTTCTTAAAAATTAAATAAAATTAGTAAATATAAATTCTAATTAAAACAAAAGATCTAAAAATTTAAAGAAAATTAAACTTAAAGAAATAAAAAGAATAAAATATGGTTGCAAAAAGGAAATGAAAACACAAAAATACATTTTCTTTTTAAAACAGACTCTACGAATTAAAAGAAAATATAATTAAAAAAGAAAAAAATTAAATCAAAAAGTACTTAAATTAAATTTCTTAAAAGTAAATGAAATTAAAATAATATAATATATTCTTTTTTAAACCGCAGAATCTAAAATTTAATATAAAATTCGAATGCAACAAAAAATAAAGAAAAAACATCCGCTGCTCACTCAGCCATTGTCATTTTTGTCATTGTCATTACTGTCTGCAAATTGTCTTACAAAAGACTTGCAACTACTCCTATCTTAGCCAGAATTGCTCTGCTAGTCTTCGTCTTCCTATTCATCTTCATATAAGTATACATATTCATCTTCGTTTTCATCTCTGTATTCGTGTTCGTCTTCCTAGTCGTACTCCCCTCTAATTTCGTCTCCGTTTTCGTTTTCGGGTAGTCTTGATGTTCATATTCGTATTTGCTATTGTTCTCGAGTCCACCTTCGTATTCATGTTTACATTTATCTTCGTTTCCTCTTCGTGTTCACATCCGTTTTTGTCTCTATATTATTATTGGTCTTCGTTTCGTCGTCGTATGCCCCATCGTATTCGTTTTCGGTTAGTCTTCGCATTACTTTTCTTCGCAATTGTCTTCGTATTCTTAGATATATTTCTTCGTTTTCAGTTCGTGTTCGACTTAAAACTTCAATCTCCAAAAAGAGAATAGGGATAAAACACACAACCCGGAAGAAACCGCGAGCTAACCCGAGCTAGTAAATTTACCGACACAGTATGGCTCAATTAAAGAGAAGAGTTCACCAGTGCCAGGGCAGAGAAACTTGGATGGGTTACTATCCCTTTTATTTCAGAATCAAGTACAGACAATGAGAGGAGTACCGTGACTAGCGTCGCTTGATGCTTCATTGACCACCGTACCGTGGCCTTGGACGACCAGCTTCGAGCTTCAGCCTCCGAGGAAGCTGATACCACTGTAAAAGCGTTCGATAATGTCGGGCCGGGATGGCTAAACCATAAGCGAACATGAGACAGATTTGGTAAACCTTCACTACTCGAAAGCAACGTCGGCTGCTTTGCTCCTCTATATTACCAGGAGAGGATACGAGCTTATATTTACTCAAGAACCATGTGTTGTGCAGTAGGGGGTTTGAGAACTCAACTCTAATGCATAGCATGTCTCCCGCAGTGGCAGATAAATTAGATCATGCATTTTAATAAAGAAACCCTTTTCTTAATTTCTACTCATACAGTTTAGAGCCGAAGACACAGTGAGCCTGAGAGTGGAAATACGATTGAAACTACTTTGACTTTTGTGAAAGCCGTAATATGACATACTCCCCTCGTACCGGGAACGTGGGAATCGATTCAACGGCAACCAGAAGGTGTAAAACGACACTTGAAATCTAATTCATAGTAAAAATTCGGACTGGAAAAAAATTGCAAACAACGAATATTTATTGTAAAGTTAAAGTATAACTTGACATTTAAAATTAACGTTGTATTATTCTTCTTAACTTAATATGGTTTCACAAGCTCCGGTTTTCGCTTAACTGGCAGCCGGTTTTCCGGCACAAAGTGTATGTGTAGCTATTGGAGCTTTCACATGAGCCGGCAAACCAACTGCTGCTTAACCGGCGACCGGATCGGGTGAAACGCCACTTACAATCTATTCATAATCCAAGAGATCGTGTTTGCTTTGACGCTTCCAATTGAGTGGAAACAAGCGCTTCCAAATTTCATAGCGTGGCATATTTAGACCCTCTCGAAGCACGATTTCCTCGCCAATATCCAAGTAGTGTTGACGCTTAAAGCTAAAAGCACGCCAGCGTATATGGCGTAACTTGTCATCGCTCTGCTTATTGGGATCACTGAAATGAGTGTGAATAAATAGTATTTTAAATGCACACAAATTGCCAAAACACTTTAGCTGACGCACCCTTTATAGGCGAATGCTGTAAACATTCTGGTTAATTTATCGACGATTTTGATTTCGCGATCATCCTCCGTAAACATGCGGCTCACCGATGGTTCGACAAACAAATACATCAGATCGTCATGATGCACAACACCTTGGGATGATAGTTATGTGATTACGTGGGCATTAAGATGTTAATATTTTCTTTGTCCTACCAAAAGGTTTATCTGTGGGATAATAAATATGACTGCGCTGTCCTTGATAGCTGAAGCGGTAGTAGTAGACTTTGGTAGAGCGCGCCGCTAAATGCACAAAGCGATGTATTGCAAAACCAGTTAGGGCATCAGCGAAGAGCTGAAATGTGTTGGTTGAAAAGTAAAATGCTAATGGAAATATGTATTTCACTGATTATACGAACATCCACCAAAGGTTGCAGAGTGCCTGCATATTCCAACGACTCTTTGCCGAAATATGCAAATTTCAATTCCATGCTAATGTTTTGCGCACGTGGGCTATCTGGGTCGTAAAGGAAGCATACCGGCGCTACAGCCTCGAAATTATGCGCCAATGTCTTTAATAAGCGGGGATTCTCAAGAATTGCTAGAGGAGTGTAAGAGTATTGGTGTAGCTGGACTTTAAAGAAACAACAACTTACATATGGCCTGTCCCGCGAATTCATCCTTCGTCATGCCAGTTATGATGGGTATTTTCATAAAGTTGCCATTTTGATAGGACCAAACAGGATCCTCTGTGAGAAAGCGCTCCTGGCCATAGTCCGGTTCGATGACTGGTTTCCACAATATCAGCGGATTATTGCGTCCAAATTCGAACATATGCGGCAGCGTATTGGCATATTCGAGGTAATGTTTCTACAAATGCACAACAATTTGTTAGTAATTCCCCATATTTTACTTTAGCGCCAACGACAAACCGAGTGCAAACAGCTCATCATATCCGTTAAGTTTTCCGTATTGCAGTGCAGCAATGCCGCTTGACGTGTCGCCAAATCCAATTGCTCCGATGGCAGCGACCACTGCCCTGTC